AGCGGCAGGCGGCAAGCCCCAGGCAGTGGGGCAGAGCTGGCCGTGGTGGCCACAGTCCTCCCCGTGAAGCCCGTGTGTCCCGCTGCTGGGCCTGGCGGTCGCCCGCCACCACCACGTGCCCAGCTGGAGCTGGACAGGTCACAGCCCTTGCTTCACCTGATCCTGACCGCCACGAGGAAGGCCGAGAGCCCCATCCCACAGAGGGGGACACTGAGGGCCAGGGAAGGGACACGACTGCCTTCAGACCCCTTGGCTGGTGATGGCCACGCTGGGGCCAGACCGGCCCCTCTGAGGCCAACGCCCCCGCTCTCTCGGTGTCCAGGAACCGCCGAGGGGTGAGCCGACAGAGAACTCCTTCTCCCTCCCCCACCTTTATTTTTTTGCGTTGGGGTCTCGCTGTGTCGCCCAGGCTGGAGAGTGGCATGATTGCAGGTCACCGCAGCCTCGACCTCCTGGCCTCAAGTCATCCTCCCACCTCAGCCTCCCAAAGGGCTGGGACGGCAGGTGTAGCCACCGAGCCAAGAACTTCTTCTGAGTTTTAATTTTGAAACCGTTATGGATTCACAGGAAGTGGCAAAGATAGCACAGAGAGAGGCGCTGTGCACCCTCCCCAGGGTGCCCCCAGCGGTCGTGTCTTACATAACCCGGTCCGGTCCCAGGCCAGAACGCTGCGTTGGCACAAGGGGTGTGCGTCACTGCGCGGCATTCTGGCCCGTGTGGAGTGTCACGGAGCGCCACAGCCGTTGGGACGCAGAGCTGTCCCATCGCCGCAAGTTTCCCTGCTGCTTCCTCACGGCTCCCCCCTCAATCCTCTCCACCCCTTCCCGGGCTCCCAGCAGCCGCTGATCTGTCTGCCATCTCTAGGATTCTGCCGTGCTGAGAATGTTACATAAACGAAATCATATGATACTCTATCTCTTGAGATGGCTTTTTTCACTTCCAAAGGCCTTATCCTAAACATTGAGTATCGACTCTGTCTCCGGCACATATTCGTCCCGGCTTCAAGAATATACCACATAAGGCTCTTTTGGTTGCAAGCGACAGAACCCAACTCAGACTCTGTTATAAAAGGGAATGTATTGGCATCCGTCACTGAAAAGTCCAGAAGTGAATCTGGCTTCAGGCCCAGCTGGATCTAGGGGCTTGTTAGGACTGCTCTTATTCCCCATGTTTCGATTCTTTGCGCCTCTCGGCTGGTGTTCCCCGCAGCCAGGCCCTCGCCACTGGCGGCCACCGGGTGTGCACGCTCACAGACCCAGGGGCAGGGCTTGTCCCCTCCTCAGCAAAGTGCCAGCAAAGGTTCTGGCCCTGGTGGGCCCAGTCTGCGCTCGCTTGACCCCGAGCCAGTCACTGAAGAGGGGGCAAGTCCGCCGCGCCCTGCCTGGCTGACCCTTGGTCACGTGTCCTCTCCCGCCCGCCCCTCCCCAGTCTCAGGGGTTGCGAACCGGCTGTTGGAAGGCTGGGGTGCTGTCGAGGGAGGGGCCCGTGGGCGGATGGGGTGATGCCACCCCAGCGCCGCAGGCTATTCTCCGAAAGATGTGCAGGGACTCGGGCTTGGAAAGGTTAAGTAGGGTTCAGAGCTCTCGGTCCCAGAGAGACCGCGGGGATTCGAACCCCCGGCGTGCGACTCCTGGGCGCCTCCCAGCCGTCTCCCGCCCCCAGCCCTTCTGGGAATGCCCACTCGCTCCCTCCCGGCTCAGACGCGAAGTGGAAGGCGGGCGTTGGGCGGAGCTGGGCTCACCCCGCTCGCACCCCGGGCATTTCGGGCTCTGCCGCGCCCGGCTGCCACCTCTGGTCTCCCTGGTTGCTTCGTGACTTGCAGATGGACCCCCCGGGCGCTCCAGGGAGGCCCCCGTGGCGGCTGTCCCCGCCCGGGCCCCTCCTGGGACGCAGGCTGGCGCCGGGCCGCTCACAGTCACCTCCC